GGATTTAATTTGTAAGTCTCATAAAAAATTACTTTATATAAAAAAATTAATATTAATTATCCATTATGTTGATCTTCATATCAATAGTTCATGTGCCCTCGTATTGGCATATCAAGTGTGAATCAACTTAACTTGATGTAAAAATAAAACTATCATGAACATAATTGAGCTTCATATATAATTAGATATATGTGTATGAAAGGACTATGAACTCATTAACTTAAGATGTGGCTCAAATTCATTTGTAAATATTTTTTGTTAGGTTGTGCAAGTCAACTATGAGTGAATTTAATTAAGTTAATGTGGGAAGTTTTATATCAGATAAAATTGAGCTTAATAATTAATATAAAATAAAAAATAACTCATAAATTAATTTAATAAGTCTTGAGGTTTTGAATTAAGATATGATATTATTATATTATTCTTGTTCATTTGTTCTTCCTCCATTGCTAGGTAAGCACTCCTCATTACTAACAAGTGGTATCGAAGCCAAATTTCATCCAAGACTTGGAAGATTGTTATTGTGTATACGTTTAAGTCTGAAAAAGGACTGGCCTAGTTGCAATAGAAACTTTGTTTGCTTTGCCACACTGCTTGAAGTCTAAAAATTTGGCTAGCCCTAATTGTAGGAGTTGGGACTAAATGTTTGCAACATGCATATCTGATAGGGGGAGGTTGTAGACTGCTCACTTTTGGACTTGACCTAATATAAAAAGTTTCACATTGAATAAAGTTAAACATAATAAACTAATATAAAATAAAAAAAATGACTTATAAACTTTAAGGCTTGATATTTTGAGTTAAAATATTGTATCTTTGTGCTATGTTTGTTTGTTTATTTTCATGTTTCTGAGCAGTCACTTCTCATTGGTAACAATTTTTTCTCTCATTTCTCTCTTCCATCAAAAGAAAGTATCATAGTGTTTCATGAGATTTTATGTTTTTACATCTATAGTAGGATTTGAACCCACTAAAAGATATGGGACTAATAATATCAATGTTACGTTAATTGTACGTGACTTTTACTTTACTTCTTTGCAAAGTAGCTTCACAACTATTCGTGTTTAATTTCAGGAGTTAATTTTGGCTTTGTCTTGTTTTATGTGTGTGCATATGTTTGGTGACCTTTTTCTTTGCTGATGTTTTCTTTTATTATCCTAACATGTGTACCTTTACTGCTTTTCTGGATGTGATAAGATTCATCAAGTAATGCTATTAATTGATTTCATTCTCGTAAAAGTCGAATCACAATAATTAATGTATATTTAATTTCACCACTTTATGCTTGTGAAAGAGAGATTAATTTATTTTCCTGGAAATTTCTTGACATCTTATCATAAAAAGAACAACAACCCTTGATTGATACTCGACTTAACCTTTATGTCTAAATGCCAAACACATGTTATAACAGTAGCCAAAGCTAGCTTGAATACAAAGCCAGTTCAAACATTATTAATTAAGAAGTTATATATTTCTATCTTAATATTTTCACGACATATATATATGTAATATTTTTGTGTTGTAATAAAATTATTTTTTCATACATACAAAGTTGCCTAGACTTAATAACAATTTAGAATAATATGACCTGATAAAATCGAAACTACCTTCGTCAAATAATTATATTTAAAATAATAACTTTTGTTTTTTTTACCAATAAGATTTTTCTTTTTGTTTTTAATAACTAACCATTTAATTAAGTAGTGGCAATCAAAGTAAAAATCACACTTTTATTACTATTATGGAGTCATGCAAACTTTGTCCCAAAAAAAAAAATAGCTGCATTCTTCATATGACATCTAAGTAATATGACTTAACCCTTATTTTATATGTACTCTTTCTGTTCAATGATATAAAATATTTTTAACCAAATTTTACTGTCAATAAATTAGTTAATTATCTTCACATTAACATCATCTTTCTATATTTACCTTTATTAAATAAAGTATTTCACTTAAAAATAAATATATAAAGTGGTATATTTATTAGGGACATTTTAAAAAAAATATATTAATCTTATATTTTTTTCATGGAGTATATGTATTAAGATAGAGAGAGTGATATATTATCATTAGGTAAAACATTGATTTTTTATAAACACTGCTTTCCAATTTTCATGACATGGGTCATATAAAACCCTCTCCATTATCTTATTCTCCATGTTATTCGCTCATAACTAGAGAAGAGACATCTTTTTCATTTTGTTATATACACATACATACATACATACATACATACATACATACATACATATATATATATATATAATTTATGAATGCATAGGAATCTTCTGAATGATTTGGCTTTGCCTTGTTTTATGGACGCATAAATGTTTGGTGACTTTTTAGTATGCCCTCTTTTATAGGTTCCATTCCCTATATGTGCCTTTACTCAGACGAAAGTGGAGGCAGACCCCCCACCCTCCCATTTTGCATACATGAGGAAGAGGGCTAAAGAGTGTTGTCCCCCCACCTAACTCCAACACAAATATGGAAATAATATAATTAAGTAATTAATCAGTTGGTTAATTAATTAATATAGTTTAATTTTCGTTGAGGGTGTATGTTTTCTTCATTTATTGATAAATTTATTTCATTGATTAATAGTATATAGAAAAAATTTCTGTTGGCCAAAAAAAAAAATTTATATATATATATACAGACAAAACTATTACTCCCTCTAGCTCTACGCACACACACATACTCCCTCTGCATCTAATTATAGGAAAAGTTAATATCCTTAAACTAGTAAAAATGTTTGATTTACTAACTTTACTAATGGCCACAATAAAGTATGTCTAGGAATCACAACTTAGTGCAATGAGAGAAGAGAATATTGGAAAAAGTTAACTACAATATCTTTTCTCTATATATTTAGGATCATACAAAATTTTAAAACTTTACTCAATAATTAGGATTGGAGGGATTGTAAATATAAGTCTCTTTTTAGAATAAATTGATAATCGTTTTCAATCAGTCAGTTTAGTTCCCTTTTTTTAATAAAATAGTTTCACAATTTTTGCATATAATTTATATATTACTATTTATTATTGAAAAAATTTCAGTCTAGACCCCTTAACTAAATATAATGAAAAAAGAGAGCTTATTAAAGTTTAAAATTTCATTGTAGATCAACAGTAGTGAAGTAAAATTAAAAGACACCTGCGTATTTTTCACACCAAAACTGTTCATTTTTCATATGAAAGTGGTTAATTTTCTTATCAGAGTTAGTTTTGTGTATGACTTCACTTAACTTTATTCTTAGTGTTATTATCGTGGTAAAACGAGTTGAAAATTTTTCATATTGAAGTTGTTCATTTTCTACACTGAAATAGTTAATTTTCCTATAAGAGTTTGGTACACATAGCTCTACTTTGTTTTTATTCAAACTGCTGTTATCATAATAAATAAAGTTGCAAATTTCCTATACTAAAATTGTTTATTTCTCATACCAAAGTGGTTAATTTTTTTATCGGAGTTATTTACATACATAGTTTCACTTGATATTCTTAGTGTTGTTATCATAATAAAAAGAGTTGCAAATTCCTTAAACTGTAGTTGTTCATTATTCATACTAAAATAATTATTTTTCTTATAAGAATTGTTTGTGTGCATAGCTACAAGGTTAATTTTGTCACTCCCCTAGATATTTTAATTTCATTTTACTACTTTGGTCTATAGTGAATTTCAGACTTTAAGGGACCTTTTTTTGCATTATGTTTGGTCAATATATAGGTGTAGATTAAAATTTTCCCTTTATTTTTTTGGATAAAAAGTAATTCATTCATTTAAAAGAGAATTACATATTTATTCACTGATTAAAGATGCGACTTCAGCACATACTGTGAACATATTTAGTTAACCTATCATCACTATTGTTAAAGCCCCTATACGTAAAGAATTAAACAACTGAACATCCCAATTACTATTTATTTCTATTGAGAAGCAATCTAGCTTGCTGTATCAACTCTTATAATTTAAGATATCAATTTTTAATTTACACAATGAAGTGTTTTCATTTGTGGAAGCAATAGAGAGATATAATGAGGCAAACGGAAGGAGCGGGAAAGAAAATGTTTGAGCTGTACTTATTGGTTATTATTGAAATCATCCAAGTCCCTCACCCAGTGTACGGTAGTGTGGCTCACAGTGGAACGACATGCGTTTCACTCAAGCTGACTTGAGTGCACTTCAGGCTTGAATTTGGGCCCCCAATTCTGCTTGGACTCACTTGATGAATTGGGTTAGACAACAGTCTAAGGCCACAGGTTTAGGATGACCAAATTATTTTTGTTTAATTACGCACATATATCTTCTATTGGAGATAATATGGTTCAAGATATTATCATGCACTAAATATAAATATTAGTTTTGTAAGGATTCAAACTTAATTTGATACATCTATAATATGTGAAGGTATGTTAATTTTTGGCGGTTTCAATTTACTTGTTTACTTTTTATGTGATATTATAATAATTGTTTTATAAAACAATTGAATGTAAATCATTTATTTCTTATAATAATCTTAGGGTGGAGATGAGATGAGAAAAGAAGAATGAAAAAGTAGGAGAGGATCTAGATCCCTAAATTATTCTTTAGGATTGTTCATAACTTATTATATAAGGTAAATCATCAACATACTTGGATTCGGGCTGAGTGAGTGGCATAACTATACTCACTCAATGAGTGTTTCACATATCATAATTACAATTGCATGGTTTAATCAAATGAGTATAAGAGATTTTGTTGTATAATATTTATCAAGTATTAAATCTCAAATTTTTGGAAGAGATAATCTTACGCAAGGAATGTTTTGATCATGAATGTTATATATTTTGAGTTTTTGGAGGGAAGTATTTTAATAATTTTTAAATATTGATAAAATCTAATAACTGCTTATTAAGTGAGTGGATTCAAGCTAGTCATTGACTTTAAATGCAAGTATATGAATTGATTTATTTGCTATTTCTAAAACACGCCCATGTAATGCTACCCAAATGATTATTTAAGCTACATATTTAATTTATTCTCAATTCAAATTACTAAATTCATGCATTGCATACAAAGTTAATTATGCAATAAATGAACGGTTAAGACACTAATTAATTCGGTAAAGAGAGTCTATTTAGGTCTTCATCTTTGGTCTTATTGTGAGAATCATCATCAGCTAGTTCTTCATGATGGTGTTCAGTTTTGGTTTGATTATGATCTACAACGACAATCTCAACGGCTCCAGATTGTTGAGCGATTTGATCTGACGGCACTAATTGATTCATCTTCTTCGCCTCTTTGCTCTTTCCCCATAATACCAGATATAACCCTACCACTATCAGCACTGCTCCGATCACACTACAATGAAGAATTATATATAATTATAATTTATAATTTTATTAAAAAATATAAATAGCTTAAAAGAAATTTGAATCCCATCATGGCGATGATATTGTGAGAAGGAAAAAGAGACCAGAAAATCGAACCAATATAAAAATATATACAATGTGAAGGAAACTGTACTATTTACCTGCAGACATAAAAATAATGTATTTCAAGCTGAACTTAGTCTGGTTTTTAAATGTGTTTTTGTTACAAATTAAAAAAAAATACCTGCCCAAGTAGAGATTCTCATCCAACATGAGAGAACCAGCAATGGCGACAAGCACAAGCATGAGAGGGTTGAACACTGAAGCATACAATGGTCCTCTCATCTTCACACACCATGCTATCACTATCACCATTATTCCCGATGCCACTACTCCCTGCATGAGTTGTATTATTCATAAGTCATAAACAGTGTACATATATGTGTATGTACATGACTCATTTATCAGATTCCGTGTAATGTGTACACGGAACCTATATCTGGTTATATATTTGAAGAGTAAGTATAGGTACCGAATAAACGGCGGTTAGGAGCCTAACATTCCAATGCAATCTCCATTGACTCCAATCTCTATCAATACAAAGACCAAACACAGTGGCTTGAATTGCTCCCATTGTGGACATCAAAGCTGTGCTTGAATGATGCTTTGGGTATTCTTTACTCATCTTTGCCTGTAATTTCATCAAGACATATTAAACCAAGGTACACAAATATCCTGCTATTTTAATTTTTAAGCTAATGGAATTGGAATAAGAATCAATGGAGTCGTCCATTTTTTTTTAATTAAACCGACTGATTATTGGATCTGATTCACAAAATAGATAGTAATTAAAGGAATAATGAAATTTTTAGTGTTTAAATTTATCTCAATTATTGATTTGGTCTCTCAAATAAAACTTTTATCAATTTAGTCCCTTACATTTTCTTAAATTATTATCTTAGTTTTTCAGGTTTGACAGTCAAATCAGTTTAACTTTCATCAATTTAGTTCTTAACGTTGTGTTTTTTTTTTTAAATCCTGAGTTTGTTTTCTTTTTTTTTTGGGGCAATATAATTATACTTATTTTCATTAATTTACATAACCGTCAACTCAATATTTTGTTATCTATATTAACAAATTTTAACGTGCAGTGTTACCCACTCTACATATAATAAGATCAAGATGATAAAAATTAAAATTAAAGGATTAAATTGATAAGTGAAACAAATTAAGTGACTAAAGATTTTATTATCCCGTAATTAAACAATTAGAATGATGACGGAAGCAAATGAATATATAAATATATAGTGAGAGGAGAATGAAAGAGACCTGAATGATGAGCCAAAGGGCAAAGCAGAAGCAGCTAGCAATGCCACAGAAAACACCAAGCAATTTGCTTCCATGTTGTGAAGTTGCATTAGCATTGTGACGCAAAAGGTGAATGTGAAATGTCCAAATGTTCATTTCTATGCCTTTCATGAATGTCAGCATCATTGCCCCTCCTACTCCTATTATTGTTCCTAACACCTTTGCTTTCCCTGCTGCTTTACCCAGATTTAATTTTTCATAACTGGCCCATCATATCCCAAAAAAAAAAAAATCCCACAAATTATTTCATGTCAGTTAAGAGATCAAAGTATAAATATGTTTTTGAAAAAAAAAAATATTAGTATCACAAGAAACAAGTCATGCGTATCATGGTTTGTATTTTCCAAAACTATAGCTGGACAAAATAAAAGGAAAAAAAAAAGAAAAAATTGATTTGAATTATGACAAAAATAAAAATAAGGTTTAAAATCAATTGTTGACATTTACACATTCAGAGTATAACAAAAAATATGATCATGTACATAATGTTTGTACGTATCTATGTAATGTTATAAGTAGTCACGAGATCTTTTTTTAAATATCATTTTGAATATGCTTAAATTTTTAATTTGATTCATATAATTTTAAAAATTTGCATTGAGTCCTTAAAATTTACAAGAAGTTATAATTTAATACACTTTATTAATACTTTATTAAATTTAGTTAATAAAAAAAGTTACTTCTTTAAATGTAAATTATATATATAAATAAGAGGCAAAACGTATAGATAGTAAAGTAATGGTAAGGATCGCATTAAAAGTTTTTTAAACTCTAAGAACTTGTTCAAAAAATTTACGAGAGCTAGATTAAAAAATTAGTTAAATTATAAGGATTAAGACTGTAATTATTTTACACTAGCAAGGTGGAATACTTCTTTTTATTGTAGGAGAAATACTATTATATGCATAAGTTAACAACGTTGAAAAATGATTTAACTACTTAAGATATTACCCAAAAAAAGGCAATGTAATCACCTGCCGAAGAATAAATGGCCCCCACACGTCATGATTAAAGTGGAGGTAGAAACAATACAATACCTTTTTTCTGATATTAATCATGCGCTTATGCTCATTAATTATTCAATCGTATTTGCTTTTCTTCTTTCTTTAATTTCTTCTTTTTACATTAAGTATTTAATAGTTTTCTTGTTGATATTTTTTATTTTGTGTGCATTTCAATTTTTTTTCTTTGGTTATGTTAGTTAAAGGAATACGAATGTCAATAGAGAACATGCATTTATAGTTTTGTATAATATATAAATGAGTGAAAACCTACCCACAGCAGGCTGCCAAGATAAAAGTCACAGCAGGAATGAGATTAAAGACAGCAGAAGCAAACGTTGCAGATATTAAAGCCAAGCCTTCAAAATAAAGGTTTTGAAACAAACTTCCCCTGCAATATCAATTATAAATTTTGTTAAGCAATACTTAATTATATTAAAGTTATTTAGATGTATGATATTTAATAATATACAATATTAAACTATACGTACCCGAATAAACCACAAAAAAATGCCATAAACAGCACCCTCCAACTCAGCTTTGGTCCCTTGTTCCTGCAAAAAAAAAAAAAAAAAGAAAAAAAAAACAAAACATATTTAGTCAAATTAATTAATATTGTACATTTAAATAACCCTAACTAGCTTACTTAAAATAAAAGTCCTCGTGTTTCCTTATATTAGTGTTATTATTAGCAGTTAATTAAGGACATGAAGATGCATGCTACTTAATCATATATAATGACCATTTCTATACCTTGTTAAATAATTTTAGCTACTAAGATACAAATACGTCTCCCCTCATATATATTAGGAATGAAGAGTTATAGCCTGAGCGAACGAGCAAGCAAGAGAAGTGAAGGACATCACATTTTTAACTCAAAAACTTCAATGCTCAAAATCAACAAATACGTATAAAAGAAGGAATTATAATTAATGTACCTTTCAAGAAGAAGAGCAAGAGGAATGGTAAAAGCAGAGGCAAAAATGAGACGATAGGCAGTGAGAACCCTAACGCTCATTCCATGGTTAATGGCAACCTTGTACATCACATTCACCGATGCAAATGCAATCTGTACACTCAACATCATCAACGCTGGTTTCAACCCATCCACTGCTCTCCACATATTTCTCATTTCTCTCTCTTACACACACCTTTATATTAAATGATAATGACTTTGATCTATATTGACACTCTCAAATAACCAAGCAATATGATCTGTATCAAAGTTCCAATCTTCTGCAGAATCAACCGGAAGCGATCTGTATGAAAGTTAATTATTGGGAGGCTAAAGGGTTGCTTATATATATATATATATAATAAGTATAATGGGCAGTGACGAAGGTCGAATATCAAGAATTAATATATTTTAGGTTTTCAGAGTCACGATATGGGAAGAAAAACACGCGTTTGTTGACTGTTGGTGATGAATGGATCTAAGTCGGTCAATTTGAGACAACCTTTTATAGACATTGTGGTTCATAGTTTCACTTCCTACATTGACGCCATCATCTTCAAGGTCCATTACAAGTTTTTGATTAACTTAGGTCTCATGTTCCTGCCATTTTCTTCTTGTACTACCAACCTAGCTAGCTTCGTAGAAATTGCCATACATCAATACACGCTTTCTTTTTTTTTTTAAAAAAAAAGGTTCATTAATGGTGATTATTCTAATATTATATCTCATCATTTTACTCATTAAATAAATTTCATTCACTCTTTCTCTTGTTAATAAAGGATATTCTAAAAGTTTATAAGAACATTTAAGATTGTAAACTGTATTTAATAGACTTTATTACTAATATAATTTTGTAAAAAAAAATGCTTTATAAATTGGGACGTCGTGGGAGTGCCTAATACGTATAACTTCAAAATTTTATGTGATCCAAATATTTAATTCACATATATATAATCAACTTGATTCATTTAAAATAATTGTTTTATGTCATAAATTATTTGAAAATCTTCGTCTAGAGACATTTAAAAAAACAATTGTTATTTATGCAACTAAAAGAGATAAAGTTAATGATATATTATACTCTCTTCATTAAAAAATATAAGGTATTTTTTTATCAAAACTCACCTTAATAAAGGAGTTAATTGTTTTCAAATTAACACCATCTTTTCATATTTATTCTTAATTAATAAATTATTTTACTTTGAAATAAATATAAAATTATTTATTTATTATAATCACTTTTAAAAAAATATTAATTACACCTTAAAATATTTAAAATATTTTAATTTTTTAACATTCAATCTCTTAAAAAATGACTTATATATTTCAATATGATGTATTGTCAACCACCGCCACTATCATTCCATCATGCAAGTGAACGTATGTGCTGATGTTTAGTTTATTGGCAAGTTGAAAGGGCATTAATTTCATTTTTCATTTTTAAAGCCAGTTATGTATTTATAAAAGGACTATTAAAAATTTTGTTCAATGAATTAGTGTGATTGCGCTAATTATGCCTGCCACAAAGCTGGGTTTCAAATCCAGGAAGAGCAAAATTGCACGCCTTATGAGACTGTCAATCATGACGCTATTTTTGTGTCTCCCACTATAATACAACAAAAGAGGCCAAAAGGCATCGCATGTGGTCAAAAGGTCAAAACTCAAAATCTATGTGTACATGTACGCTCAGCACCCTGTTTCAAATAAATACAATATTATAACTTCCAAAACACTTGTAAGTCATTTTAATTTTAGGAGTAGTGATAGAATATGATGGGATGGAAGCAGTGGATTTTTCAATATTTATATTCTCATTCCATTTTTTTAATTTTGTTACATACTCATGTCATTATTTTGTAGTTTATCTTTTAATTTCTATTTTTTCCTAATTATATAGAATCCGGTATTATTATGATTTATGACTGTTGTGACAGTTGAGAGGAGCTTGTCTTTTTTATTCGTATGTCAATTTGTCAATATTTCATTGTCATTTTTGTACGTCCAGAAACTCATTATAATATATATAATAATTTTTATATATGGATAAAACATCTTTTTTATTTTAAATCAATCAATACATGTATATTATAAAATACTTTATATAAAAAAATTATTAAAAAACTCATTAGTTTGAAAATAAACCTTTTTTTATCTTATGTTTGAATGCTGTTATGATAATTATATTTATACAATATGAAGTTATGTTGTATAATAAGTCTAAACATGACAGCACATACAATTTGATTAATGTAATTTTTTAATTTACTTTTTTATGTCTATTCGTAGCATGAATTATTTTGGCGAGACATAAGAAATATATTCTGCCAACTTTAGAGTATTTTTCATATTAGTAACAACAATGATCAGAGTTTAAATAAGTTATAGTAAATAGTTTTGAAAAAATGATAAGACAAGAAGAAGAACATTATCTTCTAATTGAGATACTAACACTAACAGCAAGAAAAAACTTAACTAAATATAATTAATTAATTAATTAATCGATAGTTGACAAGTGATGTTAATTAAAAGAAGAATTTTTTTGTGAGGTACACATAGGACCACTATATTTTAGATAAGAGTTCGAATTGAGTTTAACAACTTCCTAATAACTTTGTTCAATTAATTTGGAAGCTTTCTAGAAGGGAACAATATATATATATATATAATTTAAATAAATTCTTATAATGTATTATTTTTAAAAAATTGTTTGCTAAGAAAAAAATAAAAATTTATAACGCATGATATATTTGAAAAGACTTCCATAGATATAAGCGCTCCATTCCATAAAATTTCATGGTAGATTAGCATTTGAACCTTAAACAGAAGGGTCCAATTATGAATAAAATAGGGTAAATGGGCAAAAATACCCACAAAGCGATCAGCTTTAGTGTTAAATGTTAATGTGCATGCCATGTGTTAGTCTTTAATAATGTGGACTAAAAATAAGGTAAAAATACCCATGAAGTCTTTAACTAGGAACATCCAGTACTCTAAAGTGAGAAAAAAGATAAAAACATCCATAATATTAACAGAGTTGGTACAAAAGTGACAAATCCATTAAATTTCCTGCATGTTAACCATTTAGCTAACACTTAAATAAAAGTTGACTATTTTTTTGCTGATATAGACAAAAAATATTTCCAGCTAAATTTCTACGAAGGTTGATCGATTATCATATGAATATCCATAATGTTACTTTAGTAGGTACAATAGTAACCAATCCTTTAAAATTTATGCCATGTGATTTTTTTCATCACCACATATCCTAGCCCCTCCCTCCCTCCCTCCCTCCCTACTCATTTTTCTTGTCTACAAAGCTTAAGATTCAACATAATAAGATACATTGTACACAATTAAAGATCGAGGCTAAATACACCCACCCAACCCTATTTTAAGAACATTGTTGCAACTTTAAGCAATTTTATTCATGATAGGTTCAAAATTTTTAAATAATTTTTGCCATTGTTGCAAAAAAGCAAGCAATTTAATTTAATGTTTAGTCGAAACGATGTTTTCCCACATGATACTCATAGGATAACCAATCAACCTCCATAGAATTTTACCTGAAAATATTTTTTTTCTGCATCAATGAAAAATGGTCAACTTCTGCTTTAATGTTAGCTAAACGATCAACATTAAGGAATTTGATGAATTGATCACTTTTGTACTAATTCTAGATAATGTTATAGGTATTTTTACCCTTTTTCTTATTTTAAACTACTAGATACTCTTAACTGATGACTTCGTGGGTATTTTTGCCTTTTTTTTAGTTCACATTAGCAAATATTGATATGTAGTATGCACAGTTAATACTTAACATCGTAAACTAACAGCGTTAGAGTAAAGTTAATAGTTTTATCACTTCTACACCTACTCATATTGTTATGGGTATTTTTGCTCCTTTATCCAATAAAATAACTTAAGCCAATTTGATTGAACTTGGCTTAATCTTATATACTTTCAATTCATTCTTTAATTAATCAATGTGATATTTTTTTAATATATTCTATTATTCCTCTTTCCTCCTCCTACTTTTTTTTTCCCTTTCATCTTTCATTCATTCATTTTTTTTTCTCTTTGCTTGGGCTTGTACTTCTTTTTTAGTCACCAACTCTCAAGGGCCTCATGTCCATTATCTTCTCTATTTATTAGTTTTTTTTCCTTTCTATTTCTCATTATTTTCCTTTCCTTTTCTTGCTTCTTAATAAAAAAAAAGTTAATTCAATCTTATAGGACTTGCTTTAATCTTGTATATATTTAATTCATTGTTAATTAATCAATGTGAGAATTTTTTTTAATATATTCTAATATATCCTTCTAATCTATTATGGTTTTTTTCATTTCAAATGTTGATGATGGTGTTGTTGTTCCTATATTATTATCACTATTATAATCTTGCTTCGTCAAAATTTATTTTTATCAATCAAAGTTTAATTTTTTATATTTTTATATTTTTAACTTATTTACAATTTTCAATTATTTTGGAGTCTTCACCCTTCCTTTTGTTGTAAGTGCAATGGGGCCGATATGCTAGAGGAGGAAAAAAGGGCACACTTTAATGCCTCGTTTCATATGTTACAATAAGAGTTCCTAAAAACTTTTTTTTTAAAGTAAAGCATTGTATTCTCTTCTTCTTTTTTCTTTTTTTGTGAAAATAATGCATTATATTTTACTGGGTTTATATGTACACAAAATTAAGCAAGTAAACTATTATATATTCACGCATGTTTTTGTGTTGAAAATGAACGACTTATAGTTGTATACCAAGAGTTAATTTATATATACTCCCTCTGTTAAAAAATATAAAATATGTTTAATCAAATTTTACCTTCAATAAAGTAGTTACTTGTTTTCAAACCAGTCATATCTTTTATATTTATCGTTATTTAATATAACATCAAACCTTGAAATAAATATAAAATGATTTAGTCAATAAGGATATTTTTTTAAAAAAAGGTAATGATTACACTTTAAAAGATTAAAAATACTTTACATTTTTAAACATTAAACCAATCAAAAAATATCCTATATTTTTTAATGGAGAGAGTATGTCTATTCATTTAATGTTGGTTATTCATAAGAATTCAATCGGTAAGTATAGGTTGAAAAAAAAAAAGGTAAATGTAAGCCATGCATAAAGATTTTATAGATAATGTAATTATAATTAAGTGATACTTATTAGAATATAAAAAAATCTCATATTTAAATATTAAAAAATATCGAACTAAATTAGTTTGAGATATTACAACATCAAAATTTGTATAGAAATCAACCGTGAACAAAAACAGTGAACACTATTTAATTAACGCGCGCGCGCGCACTAGGAATTGGGG